TGATTAGAAAGAGGGAGAAAGGGAGGGAGCAAGGAGTGGCATCGAGCAAGAGGAGGAGGCTTGATCTGGCTCACATTTGCTGTTGACTCTCACGTCACACTCATTTCAAGAGCAATACACTCACACAACACGTGTTTTAGAGGAGCAGCCATTTGACTTAACTTTTGAGCAAACATGGTGACAAAGCACAAGACGTCCAACCAAAAGATGGGATTCACACGTAGAAGCAGGTCCGAAACCGGTCATCTTTCTTGTCTTCCTCTTTTAGTAAATTATCTTTGAACATGCTGTCCTGGTCTCAGGATGTCCGTCACATGAAGCACGAAAGCTCAGCAGGGATTCATCGGGGTCGCAGGGAAGTGGGCCGAGGAACTATTCGCACAAATCTACAATCACGGCTCCAAGGCTGTGCCCTCACAGCTTCCGATGGAACCAACTCACGAATCCGATCCAACATCAAGACATTGTCTTGGTTGCGTTGCTTTTTCCATTTGTTTTCGGCTCACTAGACAGATTTTAGGCCTTCGGTTTGAACAGGATTTCCATTTTTGTGCTGAAACGGACGATTGTGTTTCCTCTTTCAGCTCACATGTCCCGGGTTCCGTCAACAGTGCGTTTGGAAGCGCCTCTTCTACCCTAGGCCTTGCTGTTCTTTTAGATTTGCTCCTTCGGTTGCTTCTCAACCAGTTCTGGCGTCGTAATTGGCGATTTTACAAAATGGGATTGTTATCCCAACTCAGTGGGCCTGCACAAACGAACAAGTTTATTTGCTAGGCTTTCGGGTTTGGTACAGTTGAATGGGGTTCCACAAGGACCAAAGTCCGTTTGTCAGTTCTCCTTCTGCATCTATTCTTCTCTTTGTACCAGTTGTTTCACCTTGTTTTCGCAACTTGGTCACATCGGTAGGAAGACTTAGAGTCCCAAATTGGACCGTGGACGTCTCTTTGACGAGCTGTACTATGGTGCTACGAATGACGAGACTCACTGACGATGCCGGCGAAACGTCTGCGAAAGTACCACTCCACGATCCTTCTTTGGATATGAGGATGCATACAATGGACTCCGGACTAGTTGCGTTCCTCTGAGTCTTCCTACCAATGTGACCAAGTTGTGAAAACAAGGTCAAACAACTACTATGAGATGTATTCACCCAATTTCATTTGAGGTGATGAAGGACTGGTAGTAGAATTTTCCCACAATCGTGTGAGTAGAGCTGACGTTTCCATTCAATTTCACATTTCCCAACAGTTGTTCTCATCCAGGCACCAGTGGACTGCAGTTTCGACCTCGCGTCGGTTTTATCGACACCCCCAGCCGGAGTCGAACCGTGACAGTGCGGCAGATGAGCTTGACACGCTAACCACACAACCACATTGCCACGAAGTAGTGGGAATACATTTCATATGATTGCTTAACTGGTAGTAGTTACGAAAGATAAACAACTACCACACATCGAAAGGAGACTTCGACTAAAATAGAGGCAACAACACATTGGTCTTGGTATCTATTCTTCTTTTTCCTGTACTTCTCATCATTCTTTTCCTACTTCCAACTCTTGATCCAATACCTGGCATGCGTCTGGGGTAGTTTATGAGTTTTACATGCAAAT